TTTTAGTTTTCAATACTGTGACTAAACATAGAATTATAGAACAGGGAAGGTCATGTGGCCTCACCATTCTCCCAAACCCTTCCCAAAGGTGGTGGCATGACTGCCATTGTCTGGCTGAAATACCACAAGTGAATCTCTTAAGGTTTGTTGAGTGCTTAGTGAGTGTCAGAGACTGGGCTTAATGCTTTACATGCATGATCTTATTTGTATTCACAATAATCCCAAAAGAAAATATAAATATTCCTATTTCACAAATGAGAAAAAAATGAGGCATAGTAGCTCAAAATGATACAATTTAGTGGCAGAGTGTGGATTAGAACATAGGTCAACCTAACTCTGGATTCCAAGCTGTAAAACACCAAGCTTTACCACATCCACTACTATAGCACATTCCACTGCTATAGGAGGGTTCTTTTATTGGGCTGACCCAATGGACCACTCTACTATTTGTATTCATTGCCTTAGTTCTGGAGGAAAGCGCAGAATTCTATTCACTGTACTACAGGATCACCCTCTGAGATTTCAGAATTATTTCCAAACACTGCTATTTTGGTTACCTGCTTGTATTAGGGTTTTCTAGAGAGACAGGACTAATAGGATATATATATGAAAGGGAGTTTATTAAAGAGTACTCACTCACACGATCACAAAGTCTCACAATAGGCCATCTGCAAGCTGAGGAGCAATGAACCCAGTCTGAGTACCAAAACCTCAAAAATAGGGAAGCTGACAGTGCAGCCTTCAGTCTGTGGCAGAAGGTCTGAGAGCCCCTGGCCAACCACTGGTGTAAGTCCGAACTTGCAGTCCAATGTTCAAGGGCAGGAAGTATCCAGCATGGGAGAAAGATGGAGGCCAGAGACTCGGCCAGTCTAATCCTTCCACGTTCTTCTGCCTGCTTTTATCCTAGCCACACTGGCAGCTGATTAGATGGCACCCACCCAGACTGAGGGTGGGTCTACCTCTCACAGTCCATTGATTCAAATGTAAATCACCTTTGGCAACATCTTCGCGGACAAACACAGGAACAATACTTTGCATCCTTCAATCCAATCAAGTAGACACTCAATATTAACCATCACACTGCTTTTGGGTTAGACACTCAGTTTATAGGATTCCCTCTAAAAATGTAGTATCCCAAACACCACGGAGCTGCTTACTAGGTATATAGACTATCTTGTCAATTAAATTGCCATTAAATCTACACTTCAATGTTATCTAAGATTGCAACATTTTTCTTAACAAGGCTTGTAATATTTTTGGACAACAAACTTTCTAAAACTTTTTCAAATAATTTGTTGCCAAACCAGGTTTCCTCCCATGAGGACTTACAGTTAGCTATGTAAAATTTCAACTGCTTTGATTCAGTTCTTCGACCTAGTTAGGCCCAATGCCATTTAGATGCACATTTATATTTACACATATGCACACAGACTGCATACACATCACCCCCATACACATCACAAAAAACTGAATACATTTACCTAAATTAATGTTGATTAAAAACAAATATAGTTAGTTCCTTAATCCCTTTAGTTAAGTAAAAATTAGTATTTCAGTTCAATATAGGAAGCATCAAAACATTTAAATACTTCTTTATACACACTGTGAAGAAAAAAGCTATAAAAACATTTTACTTTGGTGATTGTGACAAGTTAACGTATAAATGTCCTATAGTAAAAAAAAAAATTTCTAACACATTATAGTAACCAATTCTAGTTAGAAACAAATCTGAGAATCTGGACCATGCTATTAAAATTTTCTTCCTTTGGTAAAGCAGCTGAAAACTGCAAGTTTATAATGTCAATTTGTTGTGGCTCATGCAAATTAATCTATTTAAAGGATAACTCATGTAGGACATGCTTCTTTCATGTGTTACAATGAGTTTTTTAATTTATGAATTACATAGAAGCAGAATTAAATCATATTACCTCATTGTTTACAATAAAAAAATAAATTTTAAGTAGTGTTATTTTTCATTGCTCAAATTCTATTCAATTCTCATACACAAAAGGAGCATCTACATGTCATTTAGTGTTTAGAGGATTAATGTATAAACTCATGGATTCCATAAAGTATCTGATGAAGAAATTACTTAGAGTCTTTGTTTAAAAAAAAACTCATTTTTCTTATCTGTAAAATAGTCAGCAACCACAGAGTGAAATTGGTTTGTTTTTTTTTTTTCTAAACAACAACACACACCTAGAAGGGATAAAAAAGAATAATTCCCCATTAATACAAATTCATTCTCTATAGTACTAAACTCACACATTCAGATTAGTTTCACCTTTGTTTAAAACAAATTAATTCACTTCTGGCTGTTAGTTTAAATTATTGAAAAAGTTTAAACTTTTCTTTTTAATTGCGGACAAGTCCAGTGAACCAGTAAAAAATTTTCAACAATGCTTGGAAAATGTTTCACCCATAAACCAATTTCTTCAAGATATAAGCAAGTTGCAGAAAAAAGAAAAACAATAAAATTATAGTGAACCCTTGTAGCTTCAATTTAAAAATAAATCAAAGTATGAAGGCTAGCCCATGTTTGATTTCAAGAATGCTTATCATAAGCAGAACGCTACTGACCTCTTGTGTATCAAGAATGTAACGTAACGCAAGTGCCAAAAATGGTACCTCCTAAAACTACTGAAACACAGGGTTTAAGCAGCTTGTTTTCCCAACTGGGTAGGGATCCATTAGAGCACAGCACACTTGCCTGAGTGCTTTTATATGTTTGCTGTCTCACAACTTTTTACTGAATCAATAAAGCTGATTATTTTGATTTTTTTATTGTTGCTGAAAATACATAGCAGAGACTACAACAAATTAAAGTAATAAATTTAGGACTTTTTAAAATTCTCATTTATTTTGATGAGCCTAAAATGCAAAAATTTGAGTTTCCAGTTTTAATGTTGGCTATCCAATCTGTTCAGTTTTGAAATCCAAAAGTGCTTAATACCAGCAAGGGCCAAACCAAAGTTGGACTTTACTGCCTTAGCCTTATACTACATTGCTTGAAGCAGTCTTTTAATCTGTTAAGTGACCTAAGAACAAATTGTTTGATAATTTGTGGTAAATCTTTGTTTGCCATCAGATTTCATCCAAGTTTTCTCTGATCAATAAACATTTTACTTGAAAGATCCAAACTTATGGGTCTTACAAAGATATTCAGAAATATTTTCAGCAAGTTTTATATGACTCTGATATAAAACAAAGTAAAACAAAACATTTTGAAATGACAAAATTAGTTTACCTAGCCTAAATTGCTTCAAAGAGGCATTTGCACTTCTTGTCGTGGTTTAAAAACAAACCCTGAAATTACTTCCTTTTATCCAAATCAACTGACCATATTAGCTAATTGCATAAAGACTCTGAGGATACATTTTGATAAATGCTATAAACACAAAATTAAGGCAAATCTGGTTGATATTATCAGATAAATAGCACATTTAGAAGGGCCTTTGTTAATAAAATATCTCCAATGAATCCAGAGGTATAGATTTCAAAGGGTAAGTCTATACCTGTGCACATCTGATTCTTACAGCATTCATGAAAGAGGAGACAATGAAGTTCCCATTTCACTAAAGAGAAAATGAAGGTGACTTGTTCAAGGTCATATAGTCCAATCAGTGGCACAAACACGTTTATCAATGGCCTTGGAATAGAGCACAGGGCTTCCTGTTGGTAGATTTACCTTCCTAACCACACAGAAGAGATATGATCCAAGTGTCAAAAAAAGTGTGAGTCCCTTTAGGTCTGGAAAATACTCCAGCACAGGTAATGAGCAAAGTCAGCTCCAGATTTGTCATATGCTACATAATTTACAGTAAAACACTGGGGAAAGCAGAAAGCTGATGTGAGGAAAGGGGGAAGAATGATTTGAAAGATTATAAAATGGCAGTTCCTCCAGAACCTGTAATAAGCTAAAAGAAACTGAAAAAAAGGTCTTAATTGGGAAGCCAATATTGAGACCAAAGGAGGGTTGGGAGGAGAAGATGTAGAAGGAGGAAGGCAGGAAATTATACATCTTTTTTTTTTTGAGACAGAGTCTTGCTCTGTTGCCAGTCTGGAGTGCAGTGACACAATCTTGGCTCACTGTAACCTCTGCCTCCTGGGTTCCAGCGATTCTCCTGCCTCAGTCTCCTGAGTAGCTGGGACTACAAGTGCATACCACCCCATACCCAGCTAATTTTTGTATTTTTAGTAAAGACGGGGTTTCACCATGTTGACCAGGATGGCTTCGATCTCTTGACCTCGTAATCCACCTGCCTTGGCCTCCTGAAGTGCTGGGATTACAGGTGTGAGCCACCATGCCGGGCCGAAATTATCCATCTTTACAGCTCAAAGTATTTGGCACATATCTATGTTATCTAAATAATCCTGAAATTTCTTTGAGGTAGACAAATGTTAGGAATAAGTTGAGTTCATGTAAAACAAACAAACAAAAAATGAAACAAAAAGAAAACAATGAGAAGGAATCACTACATTCCTTAGTTATTTATAAAAACCTTTTAGAAAAGTGCTTAGATGCCAGCCATTTTATTCCTACGTTTAAAGGCTGACTGATGTTAAGTATCTTACAGGTAACGGACAAAAGCCAAGTTGGGCTTTAAAAAAATGCCTACCAAAGTGTACAGTACGTTTCTAACTTTTTATACCTTCTTTACTTGGAAATTATTTTCTCCTCCTCGTCCCTTGGTAAGCTCCTCCTGAGTTTTCAAGTCTGAACTCAAAGTCACTTCTCCCGTGAAATATCCATGATTGCCTCAGTCAAAAGCACTCCTACTTCCGAAAGTCCCACTATGCTCTAAGGTTGCTTTTGCTGTGTTGTGACTGTTTGCCTGCTTGTCTCCCCAGAGAATTGCTCAAAAGGCAATTCTGCTTCTCAATTTTAAGTTGCCAAGACACAGCACTCTGTAGGTACTCAAATTAATCAATAGTTTATCCTATTTACAGTCTCTCAGGCAGTTCATTTTATGTTAGTTGCACGATCTGGAGGTCTGGAGTTCTTCATGTGAAATTTAATAAATTATTCTGCAAGCTCACTTTTATTCCCATTTTCTTTTTTACCCAGGGAGAATTAGTCTACCAGGGCAAATAATGAGGTTACAACCTTAGTCCCTCTTTCCAACCCCATTTTTAAGTTATATTCCTTTCATAAAAATATCCTTATGCACTTTAAGTAAAACTAAGTCTCAAGAGGGCAACAAAACGTATGATTCTTAATGATATAAAACAAACCATTCTGATACTAGATCAGGTAAAAATCAATTCTTGTGCTTGAACATCATTTTTAATGATGTGCTGAAAGCACTTAGTGAATTTGAGAATCTGAATTGCCACTTGAAATATTTCCAGGAAATAAACATTACGAACCAAATGGAGGAACATAGCTATTCAAAGGGACATATTTTTGTACTTGTTTTGCTCCAATTTCTGCTACATAGACTGCTCCAGTCTTTCTGTCAACTTCTAGGAGATGCGGCAAAACTTGATCTGCTAGTTGGATTGTGCTGATCACAGAACACTCTCCAATGCTTCCCACAGGGGGTGCTGCTACAACTGAGAGCCTGCTAAGATTCAGCTGGGCCACAATCAAGTACTTCCCATCAGGAGTAAATCTAAGGAGAAAGACATGTTAAATGTCTGTGAAATAGACATAAGGGTATTTTTTTCAACATTTTAATCCCCTACCATGCCAAACAACAGTAGGCAACTACTTGCTGAATGATTCTTTTAAGGAGAATTTTAATTTGATCTAATTCTGTATATGAGGGAGTAAGGGGTGCATGATAGTAGGCAAAGCCAAAGATTAGCTTAAATTTTTTTAAAGTATCAATATCATAGTCTTACACAAAATGAAACTAATGAAGAACTGATGTTAGGCTAGGTTTGAATTTTGTCCTGTGTTTAAAAATTTACCAAATAAAGGCTAGAGGAGAGGTCTAGCCTATGTTATTTCTTGTTTTCACCTGATCTGACATCTGAAAATATCAGATATCAAATTTGTTTGTATAATTCTATTTTCCCCTAATTCAAAATTAACAATAAATATTTTAAATTTTCAGCTAGCTATTCAGAGGAAGTGAGTTCTGTGCACTAAATATATTTCTTTTATTGCATTCTGCAATAAAAAGAAACAATTACCTGACTGCAGAAGGTCCCTCTTCCATGAAACAATTATTCCATGCTCCTAACCACTCCCCTGTGTCTTTATCAAATACTTGGATTCTTTTATTTCCTCGGTCAGCAACCCACACCTGAGAAACACACAAAAAAAGTCAATTGAAAAACATCCATAATATGAGAAGAAAAAAGGGAAAAGAAGGTTTATTTTCATTAGTTTCACATATATTATCTCACTTAATACTTAAGAAGATTCCAAAGAAGGTATTATAAGTCCCATTTTCAGGAGAAGAAAAACTCAAGTTCAGAAAGGTTGACTGCCTCTCTGAAGTGAGCTTACAAATGCAAGAGGCACAACCCAAAGCTGTCTTAACCCAAAGCTTATAATACTGTCTATTGTTCTAAATGTATGAATAACTAAAAAGCTGAAGTACTCTATCATAATGCAGAGGATCAGTAGATACTGAAAAGTAACAATATTCATTCATTTCTCTAACAAGCATTCATTTTTCAATGAGTATTACTGGCTTGTCAGCTCCTGGGCCAGGCAACATGACAAGGAAAAACAGCCTTCCTTCTCAAGAGCTCAAGATAGCAGAGTTTGAAGTATTCATTCATACTGCAATATCATTAAACCCTTACCTGACATTACCAAGATATGTCCAGAGTGCTGAACCAATTAAAGACGAAGCTTGAGATATTTTAGCAACACATAAAGAATGGTAATAGGTTTAATTTAGGTTTGTTGCAGGCTGTAATGGGTTATTAAGGAAATTGTTACAAGACAACAAGTGAGATGCATTCTAAATGACATTTCATGGCTACATGCATGCAACTTAAGGCATACATAAAGGGAAATGGTTTTTGATGACTTGTGGCCAGGACTGTAGAGAGGTATGAAAGAATGGACTGGGGGTGGGTCGGTCCTCTTTACTTCTACCTCCCTGCTTTTGGTCCTTGAGATTTCTTGGATTTATGGATTGAGAGATTATTTCTTCACAGGTAACCCTGACTACATCTTCATCAATGTGTGTAAATTTTGATAGCCACTGAATTCATCTCCAATCAGAAACAAATGAAGACTCACTATATCATTTTAGAAAGGTTGTTGATGCCTAGATGAAGCAATTTCTCAAGGTCTTTTCCTGATCTATGATTCTTTACTAAGGATGGGTTTTCTTAAAGATTTTTAGATTAGTATCTCAGACAAATGACCGAGGAGGAAATATGGTTTACACCCCTAAGATGGAATGATGCTTTAGATTGTTAGCATCATCTTTCTTGCTCAACACTCAATGAATTTTGATCATGGGAAATCTTGTTTAACACATAACAACAAGTCTTTAACTCTGGAATTGATTAACCTTTCATAGAGGATTGTGCTGATGATTAAATGAGTTAATTATGTAAAATGCTCAGAACAGAATTGCTATTGTTATAAAACACACTTGTGTAAAACTGACAGTCTTTGTTACTCAGGAATGCCAAAGTATCCCCATCAAATGATTTCCAAGGCCTTTTAGAAGGGTGTTCCTCACCATGATTAATTTACCTGGGTCTTGCATGCTCTGAAATTTGATTTTTTTTCTTAGCACACAATAAGTTACCCATGCTCAGGAGAATAATGCATAAAAGCATAATTCCAACTTTTCAGTACCCAATTTACATACAAAGTTCACATGGTTGGTTAACATCTTATGGCAGATCAGAAGATTTAATGATCAAAACATTCTCATTCTTGTCAATCAATTATGATTACGAAGCCAAATCATAATTAGAAGTTTGTTTGCTGAGCACTGAATCAGTAGAAATGGATTAAATGCCTAATGGTATGAAGGCAAGTAGCCTAATGTATCCATTATGTGTCAAGACATTTAGTCATTTAATAAATAAGTATGACTATTATGTACTAGGCACTAAGATATAAAGCAAAAGAGATTCAGTAAATGCTTTCAAACAGCCTACAATCTATTAGGGGAGACAGACAAATATTATAATATAGTATGATAGTTACTATGATAGCAAGTACAGGCTGCTATAGGAAAAGAGGAGGAGAAACTAATATACAAATTTTTTTGGTGGGAGTTTCATTGTGAAAAGGTAACCTCAAAAAAGTGAGATCTATGCTTAGAAGTTAAGTAAAGGCAAAAGAGATAGTAGTGAGTGGGGTAGAAAAGAGAGAAACTGATTGAAATGTTTAGCTAAAGCTTTCTGTTCCCTAAGCAGAGTGGAGCTAGTGAGAACAAGAGTTTGCCTAGGTAACTTTTTTTTTTTTTTTTTTTTTTTTTTGAGACGGAGTTTCACTCTTGTTACCCAGGCTGGAGTGCAATGGCGCGATCTCGGCTCACCGCAACCTCCGCCTCTTGGGTTCAGGCAATTCTCCTGCCTCAGCCTCCTGAGTAGCTGGGATTACAGGCATGCGCCACCATGCCCAGCTGATTTTTTGTATTTTTAGTAGAGACGGGGTTTCACCATGTTGACCAGGATGGTCTCGATCTCTTGACCTCGTGATCCACCCGCCTTGGCCTCCCAAAGTACTGGGATTACAGGCGTGAGCCACCGCGCCCGGCCTAGGTAACTCTTTTTTAAACTTCCAAGGTTAACTCCTCTCACTCCATTTTAGATCAGCACATATTTTTCCCTTGAGAACTGAAAAGATATTTAAACACTTTTAGTGGAATTTTTCTAGTAAGAGGGGAACTTTTTCTTCCAAGTAACTTTATTTATTTTCAGATCCATTATTTGTTCCTTCTATCCTTTAAGTGACATAGGAAATCCATTTTGCTCATTTCTAAATATTTCGGGAACCCCTCACTATAGGACTCAAACATTTGTAAGAAATATGTGTGCACACCCAGCCCCAGAGTAATTGCCCAAACATACCCACTAACACACATGTATACCACAATCTATATATACATGCCCAGACACACACATACACACACACATATGCACAAACATATTCAGACACATAGTCCCAGGCACAGTGACACTGTATTTTTACCCGACCAGCTGAATCAAGTGTAACACTGTGAGGTATGTTGAACTTAGCAGGCCCTGTCCCATTTTCTCCATGCAGCCAAAGGATCATGAAATCTATAAATGGTAAAAATATATAGTCAGAGCACATACAGAATGTCTCATGTATTTGCATATTTTATGAAACAGGTTACAAATAACGATTTAATTACATGACTGGTTTGCCTGACTATGCTTTCTCGGCTTCCTGTCCATACGCCCATTTCTTACAATTTATTTTTTTACAAGTTCCTTCTCTGCTTTAGGCAATTAATCTACCTCTTTAATTATGATCTCTACTTGAATTTGTCATGACTGCTTCAAAATCATTGTTTAAGGTTTATCCCATCCTCTCCCTAAAATTGGTTCCCCTTCCCACCTTATCTGTTATTTGATATTAGTATTCCACAGACCTTAAAAATTCACATTATGATTTTACCGTCTATCTCCTTCATTACCCACTATGGTGGGTTCAACTGTGGTCCTTTAAAGAGATGTCCAGGTCCTAACTCCTGAATACCTGGGAATGTGATGGTATTTGGAAATAGTTTTTGCAGATAAAATTAAATTATGGAGCTCATGAGATCATCTTGGATTTAGGATGGGCCCTAAATCCTTGTTCAGAGAAAGAAGGAAAAGACTGAAGTACAGAAACACACAGAGAAGGGGCCACCATGTAAATATGGAGACCAGAGGTATGTTGCCACAAGCCAAGGAATGCCTGAGCTGCCAGAAACTAGAAGTGAAGGCAGGGCCGTTAGAGTGAGCATGGCATTACCAGATCTCTGACTTCTGGATTCCAAAATGGTGAGAATAAATTTCTGTTGTTTAAAGCCACGCAGTTTGTGGCAATTTGTTATGGCAACCACAGGAAACTAATACACTCATATTCAATTTGTCTCCTAGATTTGGTTGTGTCTTTCACTGAATGTTTTGGATTCTTGCAGATGTGGTTCTTTCACTGAATTTTTTGGATTCTTGCTTTATCCTTATCCTACCTCCCTTGTAACTTTTGCTAACCAAATTCTGTTACTAAATGATAAATTGACTGCACAGCCTCCAAATGACGGAGCCCAATAGATCCTGATAGAGCGGCTTATAAAAACTGCTACTGAGACATCACTTTCCTACTAAGAAAACCTCAAAACCTCTTCATAGGCAAAAACATGGCTTTAAAAATCCTCAAATAAGCTTTCAAAAACATCCCAAATCATATTTTCTGCTGCTGAAAAAGTGCACCTTTACCTTCTTTCTGCTAATAACTGCCTGTAGACCATGCATGATAAGCCCTCCATGAATGTTCCCTCCATCCTTCCTTCTCTTCCCACCAAAACCAGTTTAGTTCAATAACTACTTCCTTCATGACATTTTGTTCTATTTCTTCAGGCAATTTAGTTTCTCCTCCTAAGTCCATTTTGCTTTAAGAATCAATACCATAGACTACATTTTACTGTTTCGTATATAATAGATCTGTGCCTCCTGATATTATAGAGGACACAGAGAGGGCACTCAATAAAATGTTTGCTAATTAATCAGCCTGTAGGACACTTGACTCTGGGATTCCAGGTTTCTAATTTCTACATTCTTAATTGAATAGAATATACACTTATCTCCTGAGTCCACTGTAAATTCTCATACCATTGCCAGTTACTTTTGGAGGAATCTCCTGGGCTTTGGTGAAGAATAGGTTGGCCTGTTATCAGAATCATTTATTGCGGGCAATCATACCTATCTGTTTTTCAGTTTTCTCATAGTAATACACTTAGCTCTTTACATACCGCTTCATACACAACACTTAAAACATTACACCAAGTATCAAACAAATTAAATCCAATTTATAATATTTTTATAATACCGTAAACAAGTCATGTACCTTTGGACAGTTTGATCAATCTGTTATTCAATCCTCCATCTCCATCCACAATGTAAATATCTCCTGTGTCCTCTACATATAATTCTGCCGGGTTATCAAACTGCAGGGGATTCAAACCAGTGCCTTTTTTGCCTGGAGTACCCAAGACTTGAACAAGATCACCAAAGGAACTATATTTTTTAACAGTATGACCATAGAATCCTATAAAGATAGATAGGTATATCTCACAAATAAAACCACCATACAAACATTCAGATTTTTCAAGTAAGCAAAGAGCAAAAATGTGATAGAATTAAACAGTAATAAATAGTTGAAAAATTTGATAGAACTACACCGTAATAGGCTTAGGAAATTACATATTGTAATTGACAAGCACTATAGCTTCTTCATAAATTACAGCCTAATGAATTAAAACCTCCAGTAGTCCAAAATAAGCAGGTTCTAAATTAAATAACATCCATATAATTGACTCATTATACAGAAAACTGAGGATATTAACAAATTATTGGTGCACCATTTTCTTTTTTAATATTATGACCTTGAATAAACATTGCTTATAAAAGGAATTCACGAAGAAAATGTAAAGGCAACAACTTATATTTGAAACTGTTATTTCAATCATACGTATACAGATCTTAAACTTCAGTTAAGTCAACAAAAACTTTCTCTATGGTACAGATTTTCTTTTAAACTGCATTTTCACCTTGCGGAGGAATTCAAAATTCAACCTTCAACATTTCTTTGCTAAGAAGAAAATAATCTTTCTAAATCATGAGTGTCTTATTTTCTCATGTTAAAATTTCTTCAAGTTAAAATATCTTACAAGCAAGAAAATAAAGCAGAATATTAATAAGTGAATATCATAAAGCAGTTAACAGCAATCAACTTGAAGGTACATATACCAAATTAATTGATAGGTATTCAGAAGACAAATTGGATACACTGAGTTTACCAGAAAGTGAATCAGCTTGCATTATAATTCTATCTTAAATAATTTATTTATTATTATACTTTTGGACAGTTGAGCTAAAGTTTATAGCAATAAAAAACACACAAGCCTCAAATTTTCTAAAAACTAGCAAAAAAGACTACAAACAATTTTTTTATTTAAAAAAGGGCTAATTTGTAGCCATATTTTTCATTACAGGAAATCTATTCCTTTGGGAATTAGGAACATAAAACTGTCTTCAGATCTCTGGGTAGAAAATTAGCTGTAATGGAAAGAATGAAGGGATTGTCTGTGCTCTTTCTACTTCTGGAAATCAAGTCTTATTTTTTAAAATTACATGAATAAAATGAACTGAAATGTCTTTAACAGTGGATCTTCAAGAAAAAAGTGAAAATAGTAAACTCTCATTACAGTATTACAATGCATTCAGCGATAATCTATAGATTTTTTTGGTTTAACCAAAATCTTACCATCTAAAACACAGCATGAAATAAATGGGTCATCAGCTAAGGCCCAGAAATTTTATGGGTTCCGAGAATAGCTGTGATAATGGCACTACTTATAGAAACTGAGACCTCATTATCTCTAAAAAATGGTATCTGAGGCCGGGCGTGGTGGCTCACACCTGTAATCCCAGCACTTTGGGAGGCTGAGGTGGGCGGATCCTGAGGTGAGGATATCGAGACCATCCTGGCCATGGTGCAACCCCATCTCTTACTAAAATACAAAAAGTTAGTCAGGCGTGGTGGCATGCGCCTGTAGTCCCAGCTACTCAGGAGGCTGAGGCAGGGGAATGGCTTGAATCCGAGAGAGGGAGGTTGCAGTGAGCCGATGCAGTGAGCAGAGATCATGCCACTGCACTCCATCCTGGCGAAAAAGCAAGACTCCGTCTCAAAAAATAAAAAACATATTTGAATTAGCCAGAACTATAGAAACAGGATGTCCTTCAATTCAAGAGCATAACTGGGCCAAGGAATACTAGAAATATTGTCTTTATAATCCCATTTCTTCCTGAATTCCTGGGGTAATGCCAGGATAGCTCAGCTATTGCCTTGTCTTAAGCTACAGCCACAGGTGAATTGTTTCTGTGAAAACTTTCTCCATAGCCGCACATTCAGTTGTGCTCACTTCATTTTTCAGCTTTTTCTATTAAAAATATTTGATGGAAGTAAGATTTCAGACATGCTTCGGTAAGCAGAATTTCAAAAACATTAACACCCAGTTTCCGCAATCTTTGCACTCTGAGCAACAAAGCAGTTACGATTTCACAACCTTTTATGAAAGGTAACTGGAAAAGGAAAAGAAGAGTCAAGGACTCCAGAGTCATTGCTTTTAGAGACTGCCATTTCATTTGGCTTTAGTGAAGAGGTTTAGAGTTATTTAATCTGAGAAAAGCAACTGATGTTTTAAAAAGTCCCTGGACAGCCGGGCGCAGTGGCTCACGCCTGTAATCCTAACCACTTTGGGAGGCCGAGGCGGGTGGATCACGAGGTCAAGAGATCGAGACCATCCTGGTCAACATGGTGAAACCCCGTCTCTACTAAAAATACAAAAAATTAGCTGGGCATGGGGCGCGTGCCTGTAATCCCAGCTACTCAGGAGGCTGAGGCGGGAGAATTGCCTGAACCCAGGAGGCAGAGGTTGCGGTGAGCCGAGATCGCGCCATTGCACTCCAGCCTGGGTAACAAGAGGGAAACTCCGTCTCAAAAAGAAAAAAAAGAAAAAAGTCCCTAGACAAGTTCAAGGAAAGATCATACTAACAGGCTCCTTGTCAAATTTCTTAATTCCACAGAAGTACAAGATAAAGTTAAAAACATATGATTTCCTGAATCGTTAAAGAAATTACAATTACATTCAGCAACTCTGATTTTAAACAATACAACCAAGGATATGTGCAAAGATGCGATTTCCAGCAAGATAATTTAATAGACATTACTATACATACCACTTCCTACATCTGTGATCCAGACGGATTGTTCATATTGTGTACTTGCTGCAAATATACCATGAGGTGTGTCAACGGTATAATTCCAGGCTCGTAGAAAATACCCATCCTCTGTGAACACTAATATCTTTGGGATGTTATCCCCTCTCTGAAGGTATACAAAAAATAACTTCTTAAGATTAGTTTTAAGGAAAGGTCATCTGTATCTTGGCGAAGAAAAAAATTAACTGAGAATTTTACTAATGTTCAAAATCTAATATATCTTTCACATTCGAAACCAAAATACTTTAATCAAAAACAAATCGCACAATTAGCATGATATAAACGCATATGGTCAGTTACTACAGCAAGACTGGAAGGCTGCTGTTTTCTTTGTGCTCATAACTTTTTTTTAATCCCAATTTTACTTACTTGAGCTATGTAAACCAATCCGTTGAGGGAGTCAACTGCAGCACAAAATGTTGCTCCGGTAAAATACTCTGGGTCCTTAGGCCAACCCACATCCAGCCGGTAAAGAATTTCTTCAGCTCTCCAGGAAACGGCAAAAGTAAAGTTCCTCAAAACCTTAAATAAAACCAGACAATTCAGATTTAGTTTACCCTCCAGGTAAGGAAAAAAAGAGGAGGAGGGGGTAACGAGGCTTATTGTTAAGCATGCCTTGACAACCAGGAGTTTGCTAGACTGAAATAATTCCAAAGAAATGGGCTTATATACCTAAAGACCAACACCACCACATACAAGTCGGAAATTATTTGAGGGTGTAGGAGGAGTTGGGAAAGACAGGAAAATGGCGTTGTAACACATACAAATTTTTAAACTTAAAGAGTCAAGCAGTTCGGACCCAGATGCAGGCTTTGAAACAAGCTACTGAGGGAACCAGGGCCTGCCTCCTCCATCCCACGACCGGGGCGACGCCTCCCAACAGGGCCATTCGCACACCCGACAGTCATTTCCTCACTACCCAACTCACTGGAGAGCGACAAAAACGCGAATGCAAAACCAGAAATGCAAGAAAGAAGCCAGCACCGGCTACGCAGACCCAGAATCTCGCCATGACCAGACGGGAAGCCAGGCGAGGGACAAGGGTCCGCAGATGTCTTGGGGCGGGCTGGACAGCGTCAGGCTCGAACGGTTTTTTGCGGCACAGAGGGTCACCCCCGGGCCCGGGGCCGCGTCTCCAATTTCCCCTCCCCGGAGGCACGAGCTCTGAGTACGAAAGGGAACAGAGACCAGGGCGAATGAAAATCAAAGAAGACGAGTTCCGGATTTCGTGTGCATTTCGGGGTCCCCGCCCTCAAGTCAGATGCTTCGGACTGACCCAGTGAGCACCCTTTCCCGCCCTCGGGGCAGTCTGCGCCGCGGACTTCCCTTGGCCACCAAAGTATGGGCGCCCGCAGATATGCCTTAATCACTCGCCATTTATTCTTTTTAATTCAGACTGCAAAATCCAAACGTCGCACACTCCAAAACTACGTGTACTGGGGATAACATTCAAAATAATGACTGCTGGACTTCGGGAAGGATTTTTGCCACATCCTTTTCTTTTCATCCAGGCATCCGCTATGGATGCCTATGTTCCCACACCAGGACCCCACCTCTGGCTTTCAGGAAAGAGGGGCCCAAGCTGGCGGCGCAGTGTTGAGTTTACTTGGGCGCGACTGGCTTTATCGTAGGTCCCCATGAGCTGGTGGGGGTTGTAGGGGTAACCAGGCAGGGCGCCCGGCGTTGTCTGGGCTGCGTTTTTCCGGAGTCCCCCTATGCGAGGCCGTGCCCCTCTTCGCCCGGCTCCCGGTGCTCTCCAGCCGCCGGCCCGTTCCCGGAAGCCGCAGCAGCTGGTAACAAAGAGCCTGCCGGGCCGCCTGCTGCCGGGGCCGAGGTACCCAGGAGTCGGGCGGAGCGGCTGGGGATGAGTGCGAACGGGGCCATGTGTCCGGGTTCGCGGCGGTGAGGGGCGCGGCCGGCGGCCGAGGCGCAGGTGCGGGTTGAGAGACCGGCGCCTCCCTCCCAGCCGCCCGCGGGACTCCCGGGTGCAGGTGCTTCTGCTTTGCCCGCCGATTCACCTGGAAAGGCGGCTTCAAGAGCTTCCTCTGGCGGCTCCTTGCCCTCCGCTGCAGGGAAACGGCGCTCAGCCCCGTCGCGGAGCCACGGGTTTCTCTGTAGGTCTCAGAGGACCTGGCTCTTGCTCGAGGTACCCTGAAGCATTGTGTGAATACGCTGGAGAAGCCTGAATGGAGTAATTTTTGCTTTTAATTTAAAAAGTTTTTCCGAATCTCAGTTTTGAAAAAAAAAATTTTTTTTTTGCGAAGTTTGCAATACTCTCTACCTCTTCGCATTCTCTTTTGCTCGTGGAGTTTTTTCCTCTTCAGCTATCAATATTTTTACTATCGACGGAGCAGACCAGGGATGAACGTGTTGTAATTGCAAGTATAACTTAAAAACCACGTCGGGAAAGTAGTCAAGATGGATAAAAAGTCCTTTGAAATGGTGCTGGATGAAATTAGAAAGGTAATTACACTCGAGTCCATGAATTATTTTATGAGAGATGAATTCTCATGGTTTAGACTCTCTTTGAGGTACTATGTAGAGATTGTGCAGAATGAGGGTCCTAGGATTGCCAGATTGGTTTGAATTCTCACGTGTAATGGCGGAGTTTGTATCTTGATACGTTTCCAATATAAATAGAAATTAAGTTACGTTAACGCTAAATTTGAGACTCAGCGTGGTGTCGCGGGAATTATATTCCGACGGCACTCCGTTCCGAAGCCGGCTTTACAAATCTTTAATAGCTCTGTACTTTTGGGTAAGTAGTTGAATATTTTTGAGTTTATCATCTTTCAGTACCGCAAGAGTGACTGAAAACGAGAGGTAATACGCAGAAAGTTTCTTTCTTGGTAGTTACGTTGGGGTTTTCAAATCTAAGCATTAGGTGGAATATATTTGTTGCGTTGGCCATGCAAAATTCGTGTCCTGATGATAACTTTAAAGGCATTAAGTTTAAAGTCACGTTCTTAGGAATTGGCCGTCAATAACGAGTTTCAAAACTTTTTCTCTCCTGCTTTCTAAGTTTTTGCTGCTTTTTGAGGCTGCTCTGCGGATCCCACCTCCCAGAGTGAACCAGACAGCAACAATTCTAGAAGGTAGTCGACCCTAACAGTATCTCAAGCACAAGAATACCCAGAAGTTATTTATTTTGAAATGTAGGGACTTGATGTACCATTTTTACATCAACACACGCTGCTTTCCTTCGACCTTCCGGGCAATTATTCTTTCGTCATTTGCATACGTTTACGACCCTGGACTGAAACGGAAGGAATTGTTCCTGTGTGCTCTGGTGCCGATTTATTTCACTTTACAAAACTGTTACTAAAATTGCCTCTGGGCTTGCTGTGTTACTTTGTTTTTATACAGCTTTTTTCTTTTTTCAAATTGACGTGTTAAGTTTTTCATATTTGATAATACTGAACGGTTTTTTTGAACAAATTCTGCTTTTGCAAACCCAATGTGTCCAATTAATTTTTGAACTAAAATGTTGCTTTACTAATTATATGCCTAGAAATTTGTCACAATTTGTTCTCGAGCTGATTTTTAATTACTTTTCGTGAGGAAATAATTTGTGAGTCCAAGTAAACCAGCATATTTTTACTTCTGGAAAACAAAGGTTGTCAGTGTGCACATTTTCTTCCAAGTGACTAAAAATGTCATAGTAAGTTCTAACGAGGGGAATAAGAAATTTTCCAGATACGAAAGTCCTGTTCACATGAGATGGTAACTTAAGTCCGCATTTCTGGTCTGCAGGTATAATATGTCTTCTACCGTCTCTGCCAAATGATTGCATACGTCAACATTGTCATAGTCTATTAAAATTGAATAAAATATTGGCATGTCTAAATATGAGCATTACTACTGATTTTTTTAAAATTGCTCTGAGACTTTTAAATGTAAGTCAGTTTAAACCAGGTCATCTCTTGAATATCACAGTGAGTTTATATAGTAGATAATACTGATTGCCACTATTGTCATTTAAAACAGAGGCATGTAAGGAGCCACTAGGAGAAGAACTAGGAAGGGGAGTAGAAAGGGGGAAAAACAATGCTTAATTAGTTCTTCAATAAGAAGGGAATGATAGCTATTAATTGCTGAGCACTTAAACTTTGTGAACCTGTTTTTAAGCACTTTCTCCAGTCATTACTTCTTTTGATTCTCCTTACAACCCCTAAGGTAGGTACTATATTTGTCATTCACAGATGGTAGCCTGCTTTCTGTGAGGTTAACTAGTCAGCTCAAGTCTCCCCAGCTGGTAAGTGGGGAGGTCTAGTATTCAAACTCTGCCTGCAGAACACTGTGCTGTCCCGCCTGGGGTTACAGCTGAACCTCTCAGGATATGACTTGGCATCAGTACAATCCAAGATTTTATTCAGAAACTTGTATTTGACTGTGTCCGATCATTATATTGATAACCAGACTCCTAAGTGAACATTATTTAGAATGCCATTTTCTCCCATTTCAGTGAATATTGAACTACTGAGCACCCAGCGTATTTCAGTTGACTGGTCATAGTACTTTCTCCTAGCAGAATGATATATGTGAGAAGTACAATTATAATAATTATTTTGTAGTACAAGCAAAGGAATTAGTTCATTTTTAATGATTAGTGGCTACCATAGGATAGCTGTTTCCATCTCTATGCTGGGCAAATAGCTGCAAGGGGAACACATTTGATTTCGTGGACTCGAGATAGTGCTGCATCAAAGCCACCAACTTCTCTCTCACTCACTGACAGGTTCCATAAAGGAAAGGAACCATCATTTACTGAATACCTATTATGTGTCTGATCTAATGTCCACTGTTACAGTTCTCATAGTAACTCTTTGAGGTTGGCGGTAAATAGTGTTCCCTCTGTGAGTGAGGAAACTCTAAGGGAATTAAAATGCCTCTGGAAGTCTACAGTGCCAGTTAGTGGCAGACACAGACATTGATGAGTAACAACATCTGTTATGTTTAATCTTAAAATCTTAAAAATGAGAATTTGGTTGGATTTGATATGTTTTGAAACTCTTTAATTACATATTTAGGAATTCTATATGTAATGTCTACTAATGTTGAATTATTTCTATTACAGTTTTATTCCCAATCTTTGTAGAAGTTGGTAGGGAGGCCCAGAAGATCTTCGTGCTTACTCAGTGTTTCCCTCACAGTATGGAACCTGGAAATGTGGAAGGAAGGTCTTCTCACCTCAGTGACCTTGGTTCCTCGGCATGACAGGGCTGAAGTAGACCTGCCACTGTTGAGTTACTTAGGCAGTTTTGATATATGCGTATTACTGTGCTCCTTACATATATTAATGATGTTTTACTCTGTGTGTGTGTGTGTGTGTTCTTTTTTAGGCTGTTTTGACAGAATACAAATTAAAAGCAATTGAATATGTGCATGGATACTTTTCTAGTGAACAGGTAGGTATTCCTCATTATTTGTTTAAACAAAGCCTTCCTTTTACACCAGTATTCTGGTTAATGTCTATTTATCTGCTGGCCAAATTCAAAATTGCTTTTACCTTTTTGCTGTATTTATTCAGGAACTCGAGAAGGTCTCAGTTTTGACAGAAAACTTCACAGAATTTGTAATTCAGGGACAAGCACCTCTTGACTTTCACCCCAATTCATATTCTAAAATAATTTTAAATACAGGCTCTTAAAGCAATTCAAAGTGGTGTTTATGATTATGGGGACAATATCAAAGATTTAGAAACTTGTAATGGTAAATTTGCCCAAATTTGTATAGTTCCATATAAGACAATAATTACAAAATTATCATGTAATAGAAAACGTGAACAAATAATGAAATAGGTTTTTATATGAAGCCACTACATAAAAATTTTAACAATAAGAAAAAGATACACAGTGTTTATTTCTGTAACTGCCAGAATACTAACATTTTAAGCATGATAGTGAAAACTCATTCCACCTTAGGGGAAATTTGCTAATTAAAATATATGTGTATGTGTATACACACACACACATACAAGGGGGCATGTTTCTGAGGGATAGTTGGAAAATTCTTGATACAGAAATCAGACATAAATATTAATAGAAATCTTCCACTTTGCTGAAGTCATTAAGTTTATTAAGCCACTTTCTAAATGAGCTTATTAAAGATTTTTCTATCTTAGTTATAACGGCTTGTAAATTTTTATGGTTGGTAAAATATAGCATTTATTAGATATTAAAAACATTATTTTCATAAAAGTAAGAACATACACGCTTACCAAATTAACTGGAAAGTATACATGATATTTGTTTGCTATATATGTATCTCTTTGTAAGAAGTAAAAATTGTTTTACTCTCTTCACATACCACTCTAGTTTG